AGAAGGGCCAGGGCATGAGTAGATGCATTTTGCAGATCAATGCATGGCTGCACAGATGGTGTTGCCAGCAGGGCTTTGGCCTCTACAACCACAGGATGTCGTTCCAAGAAGAAGGACTACTAGGAATAGATAGGATTCACCTGACAAAAAGAGGAAAGAGCATCTTTGCAAACAGTTTCACTGACCTAGTGAGGAGGGCTTTAAACTAGGTTTGCTGGGGGATGGAGACCAAAGCCCTGAGGTAAGTGGGGAAGTGGATGACTTAGAGCAAGCACACGCAGGAGGGGGCAACAGGGAGGCCTTCTCATTTTTCTTGAGAAAATAGTGCAATCAGCGAGTTACCTCAGGTGCCTCCTGCAGCTGGCATTTCCCACCAGCTTTAAGAGGGGCAGCCATGGGCCAGTAATAATTGTCTTTTGGAGGGGTCTCACAGGCTGAAAAGAATGACCTGGCAGACTGGTTCCAGCTTGACGGCCATATTTTGCCCACACCTGACTTAGACTATACCAAGTATGCTTAAAACTAGAGCATCCACATGTTAAAGCAGGGGTGGGCAAAATATGGCCCGCAGGCCACATCTGGGCCACAAGACCATTCTATCCAGTCTGCAGGGCCTCTAAAAAATTTAGAAAATTAATATTTCTCTGCCCTTGGTTCCTGTCAAAAGTGACAGGAACCAAGGGCAGTAGGACCCAGGGGAAGCCCCGGCGGGGCCCGCCCAGCCCTGCCACCCAGCTGGAAGACCAAGCCAGGGCTTCTGGCCTGGGACCATGTGACTGCCCCAGTCAGAACCACAGGTAAGGGGTGGAGGGAGAAGGGCAGGGAAGGAGCCTGGGGAAAAGCTGAGTACAACGGGGGCGGGAAAAGCGGCCCTTCCCGCGCCCCGCAGCTGGCGCCCCATGCTGCAGCCACTTGCAGCCCATGTGGGGCTGCCTGTGCCTGTTCAGGACAGCCCCACGCGGGCTGCGAGCAGCTGCAGCAGGGAGCACCGACCACAGGGCGGGGGAGGGGCCGCTTCCCCCCTCCCTGCGCTCAGCTTTTCCCTGGGCTCCTTCCCTGCATGAAGAAAAGTGGCCCTTCCCCGCCCCATGGCCAGCACTCCCTGCTGCAGCCACTCACAGCCCATGCAGGGCTGTCCTGAGCCAGCACAGGCAGCCCCAGGTGGGCTGTGAGCAGCTGCAGCATGGGGGGCTGGCCATGGAGCGGGGAGGGGCTGCTTCCCCCCCGCACTCAGCACCAGCTTGTAACCCAGCCCTGCTGCCAGCCTGGGCCCCACGCCGGCTCCAGGCTCACCTGTCAGGGCTGCATGTAGCAACAGCAGCTGTGGCCCCCCGCTTGCCACCCTGGGCAGTGTTTGCCACCACTACCTGTGGGCTGCCCAGTGCGTGAGCTCCAGGTGGACAGCAGCAGCCAACACTGGCCAGTGCGGCACACAGGGGGGCCACAGCTGCTGTCCCCGACAGGCAAGCCCAGAGCCAGCACAGGGCCCACACTGGCAGCAGGGGTGGATTACAAGCTGGTGCTGAGTGCAGAGAAAAGCGGCACTTCACTCACCCTGTGGCCGGTATCCTGTGCTGTAGCTGCTTGCAGCCTGCGTGGGGCTGCCTGTGCCTACGTGGGCTGCAAGCAGCTGCAGCAGGGAGTGCTGGCCACGGGGTGGGCAAGGGGCTGCTTTTCCCTGCTCAGCAATAGCTTCTTCCCTGCTGGTGAGCAGGGGGTCAGGGCTGTGCAGTGCCTTCTGCCTGTACCGCGGGGCTAGGGGGCACTGGGAGTGAGTGGGTGGGGAGCCAGCAGAAGCACAGGGCCCACACACCTGTGTCCCAGGGCCAGTGCCGGAAGGGCCCAGGACAGGGTGGCAGGAGCACGGGGTCCCAGCCAGCAGGGGCTCTATGGAGCCAGGCAAGCTCCCCCCTCTGCCTACTGGTGCAGCCCAGCCTGGCTCCAGAAACCCCTGCCAGCCTGTGCCCCGCTTTGGGCCCCACCGGTGCTGGCCCTGGGACACAAGACTAATGTCCCAGTGTCTTGGGACCAAATACATTGGGACATTGGTCCCAAGATGGTGAACACAGGGCAGGGCACCTGTCAAGAGGCAGGGCTACCCATGCAGCCTTCAACAACCTGCCAAAACTGGGTAAGCGGCCCTCCGCCCAAAATAACTGCCTGCCCTTGTGTTAAAACTTGTTAACATGTGCTAAATGCCAGCTGGGCATAATTAAGTTGTACCATGTAAGTCAAGGATGAACTCAGACCCATACTCCTTAACTTTCATAGAGTTCATAGATTTCATAGACATTAGGGCTGGGACCTTGGAAAATCATCAAGTCCAGCCCCCCGCCCAAAGG